TTTCTACATTATTACCTGATTACTTGTTAATTATCTAGCTACCTACCTGTCTACTTGTCTACCAATTCTAACTGCCAAACTTATCTACCTATTTAACAATAATTTTATTTGTATAAGAATCAATATTAATGATTTGTGAAGATCTTATTTGACCAACAATTCAAAATAAAATGAACTAAATTGAAAATTATATTTAGAAAGGATATTTGGAAAGAAATTAAAGTTAAGCATGTCTTATCAAAATTATAGCTACTCTTGAAGAACTCAGTGCACTTAATTAATTGATTTTTTTTCACTATATATCCAACTGTTTGATGTCTAAAGTCTATTCCTTAACCTAGTGTTTTTAGAAGACAACTCAGTATTTTGGCAATTTTTTTTTTATTAAATTGTATTAGATACATTTCTAATAGTAATGTCAATATAAATTGAGCAATGCTCCGAACATTTTGGCTTTACATCCTATTTGAGATCTATAATTTCAAGTATCAGATATCTCTAGTGCTTGATATCAAGCAACATGGGTTTTGAACCAGGAGCCAGTGGTTGCTAAACCACTATGACCTACTGAGTGTGGTGCATATTCAACTCCAAAATTGTGCAAACGATTTTTGGCTCAGGCGTACTTTCTATACAAAATCTTATCAAATTAAATTAAAATATACTGCAAAAATTGAGTTATGTTCGAAATACTGCCCTTAATTTAAACTAACCAACTTTAAATTATATCATGCGAATAAAATTAAACTTTTTTATAATTAAGCTGTGCAATATAACCAGTTTCAATACTTGCTTTTTAGACTTTTCCATCTTTAGAAAAATGATTTATTGAAACATTAAAAAGGCTTTGTTGTTTTCTAACTCCCAGTAGGGTAAGTTATAGTGATCGCAAAAAATCGAAAATTAATTTTTTGCAATTCCATACGTTTTAAGGTCTTCTGAATATTTTGGCATACCTTAAAAAAATGAAAGTATGTGTTTTTTTTATGTGCATTCTAGACTGGTCTTTTATCTACCGACTAAAACCTCCGCTTTGCCTTTGCCTCTGGTCTCCACGGAAACCGCCGTTTTATGCATTACTTCGTGGGGGGAGAATCTAGAATGTTATCATTTTTACCTTATATTTATACTCATCTTTACTCATGGGCGGAGTCCCAATCGCATTTTCTTAAAATGCAGGTCAATTAGCACATCTGGATGTATGTGTGCGTGTATGTATGTATGTGTGTGTGTGTTTTTTCGACGATTTCGGGAACGCGGTTTAACCGATTGGAGTAATTCGAAAAACATTCGATTTGTGTTGATAAGGAGACTTGCTGATTAGTTTTTGGAAAGGTGATGAGAAGTTTTTAGTACTGGAAGTACTAGCAATTTGCCTGATGGCATGATGCCATGCACCACTAGTTTTTATAATATTTGACGAGTGTTTTTATTATTATAAACAACGGTTTGAACGAACCCGAAACGGAACAAAAACCGAAATGAACCGACTTGTTATACCGAACCGTGAACCGGAATCTGGTACGCTTTTTTTTCTGTTGAGCTGGAACTGGAACCGAACCGAGACAAATACAGAACCGGTTTTTTAAATTTTAGAGTTTCGGTGAAAAAAGTTCAGCAAAACACTGAAAATAGCGCTCCTGCGTCTCGAAGTTTGGTTACAAAACATATTTAAATCCTGCGACGGCAAAAAACGAAATTATTTTCCGAGCCAAATGTATACAAATACGTCTCGTGCTAATTAATTTTCGGTGAGAATCCTTGTTCGTGTTCATCTCACTTAGACAGGGTGTCCTTTATATATTTTGTAGACTCATCAATATTCATAATGTAGCCGGTCGAAGCTGAAACATTAGATACATCAATCAGTATGTCAAGTGGAGCCCCCAGTGCCCCATTCACGTGTAAATAATGTTCGATAATGCTCAAATTGAATTTCGTTCCTCGTGAACGAAGAAGAGGGTTGTAATGTAATGAAAAAAATACTCTTTAATCAATAAAAAGTAATGGTACGAAAAGTTTTTCACGTAAAAAAAGTTTATTTAAATGCGAGTCTCCTATTTGGGTCACTAATTCAATCAATTTGAATCTCGGAGCTGGATTTTGCTGCGTCATTCTCTTTTATCAAATAGAATTGTATAGTAATATAATTAGTTATTAATAGAGCTATAATTATGAATGCCAGACGAAAGCAATTAATATAAAATAATTAACAAATGCTCTTAATTAATTAGGTTTCTGGAGGAAAAGTTTTCGCCAGAAAATTCTTATTTGCTAATTTTGTTTTGTTAGTAACAATTGGAATAAATATGTATGTTAGCCAAAATTTCACCTTTTGAGCGCGTTTTCCCAAAAATGACCGTTTTCAGAAATTTAAGTCATCGACAATCGGTTGAGCCGTTTCTTTATTATTGATTAGTCTCAGAAACGTTGTCTGCGTTTTTGCCAAAATTTTTGCCTTTTGTCGATCTTTCCTCATAAACGGCTGCTTCGATTTTAAAAATTTAAAAGGCATTTGATGAAACTCGTTAAAATTTGCGTTGATCACTTTTGCGTGGCAATCGTCTGAGCCGTTTCTTTATAATTAGTCTCAAAAACGTCTGTCTACATTTTTGCCAAAGTTTCCCTTACCGTCAAAGTTTTCTCAAAAACGGCTGCACCGATATTAAAAGTTTAAAAGCCATTTGATAAAACTCGTTGAGAACTCGCGTTAATTACTTTTGCGCAACAATGGGCTGAGTTTTTTCTTTATAATTAGACTTCTAATTGCCTAACTACATCTTTACCAAACTTTTACTATTTGTCTATATTTTTCAAAATTGCTACACCGATTTTCAAAATTTAAAATCCATTTGATGAAACTAGTTGAGAATTAGCTCTATTACTTTTGCGCGGCAATCGGATGAGCCGTTTCTTTATAATTAGTCTGAAAAACGCCTGTTTACGTTTTTTCCAAAAAATCTTGAACCGATTTTGAAAGATTAGCTGGACCGTTTCTTTGTATTAAATGTTGAGTTGTTTTTGTCAATTATAATGAAATTAAAAAAAGATCATTTTTTATCATTCTAGAACATTAAATGCTTCAATGTGATTTCATTATAAAAACTCATTCAAGTTTGGATTATGAGCGAACTTCTTAGAACATACGCTGGGCATATGTTATTATTTTTTTGTGAAATGCGGAAATTTCATTACAACATTAATAGTTCAACAAATTAACTTTGTAATTACAATTTTAAAAGTTGCTCAATCTCAATTCATATCAAAACTTTTATTTTCACACATCGGGTTGTTCGTGGAACATGCCTTAAGGCAAAATAAACCAGATTCATTCTACAGTTGTATTTAGAGATTTTTTAATTTTGACATCTTGTCTTACATTTATAGTTTTTATCTTATTCAAGTAATATAAAAATATAGCTAAAATTTTCAGATAAATCTCATAAATTAATTATTTACAAAACATAATTAATTCCAAATACCTGAAATATAATTTGGACTCATAAAATAAATCCATCACGAAGAAAGCTCTCACATAAACACATAAATGTTTATGAATGCTCATTTATGAGTATTATTACTTCTACAAATTACTCTTTTCCCGATTCAAACTCTTTGTAAAGGACCAATAACAATTCGGAAACTTTTTTCCATCTCATTATTAAACACCTTGCTATTTTTCAAGATACTTGCGGCAATGGGAACAAATACAAACAATTTCTCCCGTAAGAATAAGAAGTTATCAACATATTCTTGTTTATTAGATTTGATATTAATATAGGTATTGTCATGATGATATTCTAGAAAGTTTTATATATCTCTTTGGAATTATATGCATAAAAGTTAGACTAAATTCGGAAAGCATTTGGTGGAATAATTTCAGCATCCCATGAGACTCGTAATGGGATAATTAGGAGAGTGGGAAATTTGATCTATAGAAAGACGAGATTCTTATGGTTTTCATTCTTGATGATGCATCCAGATATTACTTCAATAATTGACTTCTAATTATCTTTTAGTAATTGGTAATACCAAGTGCTGATTATGTTAGATACCTAGGTATGCATCTAGACCTCAGACTAACATGAAAACACCACATCACAACAAAAATCAAAACTATCAAATGCAGAGTAGAGAACTTTATTATATTATTAGAAATAATTCAAAATTAGCACTAGGAAACAAAATCTTGATTATAAAATAATAAAAATTCCTATCTGGTCATATGGTATAGAGCTTTGGGGCTGCTCTACCAAATCTAATGTGGCATTGGACAGCGAACCAAATAAAAACTACTTAGAATGATGGCTTATGCACCCTGGCACGTGAGCAAAAAATTCTGTATGATGATCTGAAAGGGCTATATATTAAAGACTTTATAAAAACAAGATCTACTAATCATCATCACAAATTAGAAAATCACTACAATTCACTCGTAGCTCCGCTGCTCCTTACACCAGAAGTAAGAACATTAAAGAAATTATGGCCAATTAACTTGATCCAGTAAAATTGCATCTAATAGTAAATACCCACTGGGGTAACTACTATATCTAATTATATTTAATTTATGTCAATCAAAATAACTATGGAATGCAACTAATGCTCATGGCATCGTGCCTTAAGGAAAATTGCTGGAACTTCTCGTACCAAAAATATTTTTTTTAATGAAGATTTAATTACAAAGATTCAAAGAAGTATTTGTTTTAGACTTTGAAAATATTAGATTGTTGAGAATTTCGAAATTTTTGTAAAATTTTGACCTTTGTGAAAAATGTGATTTTTCCTATATTTTGAAATATTTTAGAAGTGTTTTTAGAATCGCGATGCGTTGGCTACGTAGGATTAAAATATGAAAGCGCGTAAGCGCTGCGTCGCAGTCTAACGGATAAATTTCGGTGCTAAACCCATAGGAATGTGAACAAAACTTGCTCTTATTATTAAATTTAACAGTACATAAATTTACCAGTGAAGCAACTCACCTGCATTTCAATTTACCAGTCTACCAGTTTACTTATCAACCTGTTTATCAATATACCATTTTACCTGTCAACCAATATACCTGTTTACCAATTTACCTGCCATCTAGTTCTATATCTCTACCAATTAACCTGTTTACCTGTCATCCTGTTCTACATGTCTACCAATTATTCTGTCAACCTGTTTGTCTGTCTACATATAAAATATCCGAAAATTTGATGTGCATTAGTCCAATGATCATTTTTGACAACCAAATGACATTATTTTTTAAATTTTTTTTATTGAATCTCCAAAATCGCTAGACCTGCTTTCTTAGAAAAATTACCAATTTTTCATTTCTTCAGTGGAAATAAATGTTTTTTGAATCATTCAAATCGGACGCTCTGCTCTCTCAAAAACTGAATTACTATTTTTGGCACTTCTTGCCCCATATCTGTGAAACGTCTGGATCTGCCTTTAGCAAAAGCTAATCAGCACGTCTCCTTATAAATAAGAATAGAATGTTTTTTTAATTAATTGAATTATTCAAATAGGTTGATCCGTATTCTAAAAATCGTCGGCAAAAATTTGTAACTGTACACACACACACACAGACATCAATTTTTTCTAAGGTACGCCAAAGTGTTCAGAAACCGCTGAAACGTAAAGATATATAAAAAAAAATATTTTTTAATTTTTTGCGATTACTATAACTTACCCTACGAGAAGTTAAAAAAAAATTAAAAAATCTAGTAATTGATGAATTAAATTGTTCACTATTTATCGAAAACAGATAGCTTTATTTAGTACAATATTCTCTTGAGAATGGTTTTTGAACCCGTTTCTGGAACATCGATAAATTGTTGTACGTGTGCTCTCGATTTAATTTTATTTCTTTAAATGATAAATCTGAATTCAAGACTAATTTTCTAAAGCATTTGATCGAATTATCCTTTACGAAATGGCATTCTAAATAAATGTTTCCATGACGAGAAATTTCAACATTTGAATAGCATCGTGTCTACGAAGATATATAAGAAATATTTTCCTAAATTATATGCTTTGGTAGAAAATACACATCTATCTTATATATTTAGTGTATTTGATTCTTATTTCTGGGACGACAATGCTTTGTATCATTTATTATAATAATCTTGTTCTCATATTTATTGTAAATTTGAATTTTTTCCAGATATTTCCGAAGGAGCTCCTGAACGAATGCTTACCGTATTTGTAGACTCGGATAATACTCATCTTAAGGAATCTCAAACTCGCTCATATATTACTCAAATAGAACGGGAGAATTATATTGAATTAAAAAATAAACTAGTCAAAAGATTACCTACTGATAATGTTATGTTGTTTAAGTAAGTAAATAAAAATTTAATTTTTCCTTTATAATTGCATTAGCCTACAAGAAATAATATCTAACCACAAACCATATTTTTTTCAATTGTTCAATTTAATAATTCATATTCATTTAAAAGTGCATTTCAAACAAAGTTGTTCGAGTAGTTTTTATTGCTCTAATCAATGTCTAATAAAATCATATTTTATTTTAAAATTATTATTTATTACATGTTAATTTTCAATTTTATAGCCAAGAAGATGATCTGGATACGTACCAATTCAAATCGACAATTATTGATAGATTGAAAAAGTCAATTGATAAATCTATTGGTGATAATCCATTGGAAAAAGGAAAAATGAAAACTCTCCCTGTAAGTATCTTTAAATTATAAAACCAATTCCTGTCCGAAATAAACCTTATTGGATTAATTTATTTTTTGCTGAGACATTATTAAATTTTTAATTTAATTTCTCAGGAAATTTTGCAAGAACATACTAGTCATCTAACAATATTAAGGGAACACATGCTGCTGTACCAGCTGGTTGATAGAAAATATTTAGAATTCATTAGAAAAAGAATAACTTTCATACATTCGAAAGCAGAAAGTTCTAGCAGGAAAGATCCCAGCGTTAAAAAAGATAGTTTAAGAAACGAGCCAATATTTATCAAAGGATCTCAAGGAGTAGGAAAAACGACTTTGCTATATGATGCTTATACGAGTTGTACACAATGGTAGGATAATTGTAATTAAGTTTAAGCATATATTTTTAAATAGTATTTTAAATTAATTTTTTACTTTTTAGGTTTACATGTCCTGTAACAAGGATAGCTCGAACAGCTCGTGCTACTCCGAGGTCCTGCAGAGTTTTAGAATTCTTCCGTGTTTTGTGCCAACAATTGTCATTTGTTCTCGCTTTACCTCAGGGACATCTTCCGAAAGATGCAGGATTTGATCCTCGATATGTCAGTAAATGGTTTAAGGACATCATAAGGTGTTGTGGTGAACGAGATGAGGTAAGAGGACAGTACATAATAGTAGACATAGATAGTAGAGTAGTCTGAGATTTGAGTATAGGAAATAATTATTTTGGATTGGTTGGAAAGTACTTTTGCTCAAAGACTTACCAAGCTATCCAAGTTGTGATACTCAGATGGATTTACTACATAAATTAATTGCACATCAATGTTATTTGACGATTTATTGCATCAATAATTTTTATCCTGCAGGATGCAGCATCATACTTTGTCGCGTTTTAAAGGCATGAAAGAGTTTTTATTCAAATGTTACAATAGTTCTAAAGATAGATATTGGATGAAACACGTTTATTACTTTTTGAATTTTGTTTTATATTTCAGGTCTTTATAATCTTCATAGATGATCTGCACAAATTGTTGGGAATGAATCACCATGAAATGAACATGTATATGCCTGCCATTTATCCACGAAACGTTTTTGTCATCTTCACTGTAGCTACTAACGATGAACCTGGTTTTAACAAAGTTGGTTCAGTATTGAACCCATCTCAAAGTGAACAGAAATTAATGAAGAGTGACTCATTAAAAACTGATGATAAAACTAATTCTCCTTTTTTCTACCAATTCCAACGACCAAGGCATGAAGATTTCATCCAGTGAACAAAATTTACGCGAACAAAATGCACCAATAAATCGCGGGCAACCTTCACAACAAAGTATAAGAAAACGTTTGCATAAACAAATGAGTGAACAAGAAGTTATATTAAGTGACCAGCAACATGGATTGAATAAAAGTTCAAGTGAGCATAATATAAATGAGCAGTTATTGATCAGTAAACGCGAACCAGGAGCTGGTGATCATCAGCATAGCAATATTTACAAAAGCCTGCAGAGTGTCAACAACTGCATAGAGTTGACTCATAGTGTGGCTATCAGAAGATGCGAAAATTGTTTGGCTGAATATATGCATAAAACTTTGGTAGATGAAGAACAAGAAAATCTAAAAAATGCAGGTGGTTCTGAAAAGAGTAGTACCACAGATGAAAAGAACGATAAAGTCAATGATAATGGTAATTCTCATCAAAAAGTATTTGAATACTGTGGAAATTTCCTAGCAAAACGAAACTCCACTGATCTTTTTCAAGACAATTGTGAAGATATCACTAGTTATTTGAAGCATTACTATCAACCTAAATCCCACCAGGACCACACGACTTCATTATGCTGCACTTTGAAACACAATTCAGTTGATGATCATCCCAACAAGGAAGATCCAGATAATCATTTTAAATCCCAACAAATAACGATCAAAAATACTACGACATTTTCGCAGCATTTAGAAAACCGGTTAAACAAACTTCAAGATATGTTCGGAATGGAACCGGTTGCACAATTTTGTCGATATATTTGTTGCACAGAATTCGGTTTAACAGAGAGCGAATGTCTGGAGCTCCTGGTGCCGATTGAGAAAGATGATTCAATTCATGATGAGCCGATTGGATGCCGATTTGAAGAAAAAGGAGAGTTTAATTTCAGGACTTTTCGTGCTGTTAAGGAAGCTTTTGGTAAGTTTATACTAAGTAATACAATATTGTTTCAAATAATTTACATTAATACGAGTATCTTGAACAGGCGAATTGATTTTGGACAAATACTTGACTGGTAAAATTGTACTCCAATGGCGACATCAGCAGATGGGCGTGATAGTAAGACGAAAATTTTTAACAAGGGATGTTCAGAAACAAACTCATATTCAGGTGGTTAAATGGATAAATTACATATATAATATCATATATTCAATAAGCAATGTTTAAACTATGTCGTAGGTCGCCAATTTATTTTTGAATGAAGATGAACCAGAAGCTTTAGATGAGGCAGATGATAGTTCTCAAGGTACGACTAAGTTCTAATTAAATTACTCTAACTCTCTGCACTTAATATAAGTTGTATGAATGAAAGGTTTTCAAATTAAAAAATGAATGAACAATGAATACAAAAAATGTAAAATAAAAAATGTTAAGGACACGTATTGATAAGTTTAGCGCGACAATTTGCCAAACCGATTTCATATAATTAGCACATATGTGCTAAAATATAGGAGTAAAAAATTTTGTCTGCGTTTTTGCCAAACTGTACCGATTTTGAAGATTCAGAAACCATTTGAAAAATTTGAGTTAGTAATCATGCTGATTAATTTTTGGTAATGATCGGCAGAGTCCTATCTGCTCCATACGCGATCCTACGATTACTAGTTTTTTTTGCTTTAATATTAATTAAAATTAATATTTAAATTAATTAATAGTAAATGAACCGCGGAAATAGCAGATTTTTTTTCATTATATAATTAATTGTGATATGAGTAGACTTTATGTTTAATCTTTTTTGTTCAGATAATCCGGCAACCACGACAACTTACAATCTCCGACATGTGGAGGAATATTGGACTCAACTTCTTCGAGCTGGTTCACTGGATCGCCTGAAGAAAACTTGTTGTTGTAACTTCGATTTTCTTTTAGCATCGGTAAGTTGTTATATCAGTTTTAATTTGTAGTATTTATCATTTATGTAAGTTACAAACTAAATTTGAAATTGATATTTGTTAGGTTCAAATGGTGTCTATCAGTTACTTACGGTGTTTGTTGGAAGAAATTCGAGATTTTATTTTAGATCGGGATATCGAAATCGTGTATTACATTATTCAAAAATCTTCTGATACATTAACAAGAGATCCAACACAGTTGGCAGCTCAGGTAAATAATTTATTCACGTAATAACAAATGTACTTAAATTTATTTCTTTGAATTATATATAATAATGATTTAAATCTAATGTATTCCAGATGATAAGTTGGCTGAAACGTATCACAGACATTGAAGATCCACTTATTGCTGCATCCAAGGATATTCTAGGATTACCTTCATCGGCAGTTTCTAATAATCAGTTGAATTCTCCAAATACTCCAAAAGATGTTTCCAAAGGGTCAGAAGGCGACGCAAAGAACAATGTTCTGAATCAGTTGATGACGTCTTCGATGGCTTGGAGTGATGGTTTTACATCGCCTCTGCTCGTCCCTTTGAACTCTTGGTGAGAATTATTTTCATTAATAAAATTATATAAAAGGATACTTCTTGAAAAGTTACAATTGCGTACAATTTGTACCCCATGAAACTCCTTAATGAAAATGAGTTTTACGGGTTGCAACTTTAGCATTATTCCAGATCTTCAAAAAATGTTAAAGAAGATGATAATTTGAACTATAACTTATGTATGTTTTTACGTCAACTCGTCCTAGGTTCATATATAATTATTGTGGCATTTCGTAGCTCGATTTCCGATTTTTTTTTTTTCAAATAAGTAATTGTTAGACAATTACTTATTGTTAGACAATTAATGATAGTTTTGTTGAAAATCTTACTAGGGTCTTGGTAATTTATGTTTCTGGTTATTTCGAATTTCATTCGCTATACTATATTTTACTAACCTTATAAAATCCTTGCAATGATATCTATTATAGCATTGCGTTTTGTATTTTATAATTGCTGAAGTTTAAAATTATTACTAAATTTGTTTTATTAATTTCAGGTTGCCTCCGCCGATTTCTGAACATATAAAACATATGACTGTCCGCCAAAGTGTGAATCTGCTGCGAATTACTCCTGGTTCTCAACACTTGGTCGTGGCCTGCGCCAATAAATCTCACCTGGAATTATATCACATAATGAGCAACAGACTGGTTCATGTTTTTACAGGTAAATCATATATGGTTAAATAATTCCAATTCATTATTTTAATTGCCGAAAATTATCGGTGCAGCGGGTTAATTATTTATATATCATATTTATATTTACAAGGAAACATACCTGACTATCATGAACATTTTTTTTAATATGAATTTATTTGGCTTTATAAATTAGATATTTACATGATTTACATAATTGCAATTCATAGGTTAAATTATGAATAGTAATGTTTTATATTTATTTATTATACGTGTATATTAATTAATTTTTAAATTTAAAATTGTTAATTTTACATTAGTTGTTGAATGCTTCAACAGCATTTTTTCTTAAGCTTAAGCAATTATAGGACTTGCTTGTCTCTCTTTATATTAAATAGAGCATTTTTTATAAACTATTATGTAGAATAAATTATGAAACTTTTAATTAAATGATATAAACTAATTTTATATCTACCTATATTTACAAGGTTTATAAGAATGTTCTATTGCATTCAATTTTGTGAAAATTGACCAGTTTTCATGATCAAATAGTAAGTGATTTCAATATTCTGCACTTGCCATGTGTGCTTAATTATTTATCAAATTTATCAATATAATTGTTTGTGTTCATATTTTAAATATTGTTATAAAAAATTTATATTTTTAAGGTCACAGTGGTCCTGTAACTTGCATGGATATAACCAAGGGTTCTCAATATTTATTGACTGGTTCTGAAGATACAACTGTTATAATTTGGGATCTCAAAGAACTGAGATTGCGGTTTCGTATTTTGTAAGTAAATTAGTATTTTTTAACTCATTAAAGCATGTTATTACTAAAACTCGAACTATATAATAAGTGCAATAAATTGATTGGATATACAAGTGCAACGAAGAGTTTGTCATTCTTCACACGTTTTTTTTGTCTTTTATTTGCGTTTTAACATTCATATTGCCGTTTTTTTATAATTAAATATTTGAAAATTGGCATCGCTGCTGCATGATTTCAGGTTCAGTGAGCTTGAACTCGCGAACTCGTCTACACTGCGTTAACCCATTACGCCATGGAACATCCTCAAGAACAATTTAAAAAAAATATTTGAAATTAGAATCATACATATTAAGATATATCAAATTTTTTGGTCATTGGGGCACGTTAATTGTAATTCTTTTTCTATGAGAAACTTTGCTAAAAAAATTTAGGGTGAAAGTATATCTGATTGTTTTATAAAATGATATTTAAATATATGGAGAAAAAGCTTTATAGATAATTTCGTAGACTTCAAATTCACTTCCATGGTACGGTTTCTTCGGCAAAGTTTCTTGAAATGGATTTATTGGGCCAGAATCAAAACATAACTCATCGGTGAACTTGATTGTTATATTTATAGCAATTTTATTTCTATTTATACTATTATTAATGCCATTATTTCTATCCATATTTCAGTGAGCACATAGCGCCAATTTTAAGCGTTTGCTGCGCCTTCGATTCGGAAGTAATAAGTGCAGGCGACGACTCCAGTATTATTGTGACGTCACTTGTCGATGGAACCACCGTAAGTCCATTCTAACAATCTACAATTCGTTTAATCCAAAATTTTATAATAAACACGGTATAATTTAATTTTATAAATAGCATTAAAGTGTTAACCTGTAAATTAATCTAATATGAGTTATTTTATTAGTTGCGCACTTGGTCCACTCTATATTCTGATTTATTGTTACCCCCATTAAACTGAACTAAACCTATTAAAATTTAAGTATTAATAAAATCGATTTATGTTATATATTAATTTTATACGGCTTGTTGCTATAATAAAATTTATGGATTTTAATAACACGGTTATAGCTGCACTTTTGTTATTGTATATAAAATGAAATTTAATTTGTTATTGAAGTAATAAATTCTCAGTTATTAGGATTAGGAGTAGCATAAATTGTATCAGCTAGAAGTGTTTGTTGATATTAATACAATATTATATTCACGGTTGTTAAATGAATTGTATATTGTATTATGAAATTAAATTAAAGATTATACAAAAATATTATCTAGTCTTTAAAATGTTCTGCAATAAATGTTTTAACTAACTTTGGGGAATATTAAATGAGTATAGTTGTGATGCTCTTAATTTTTATGGTAAAGTATACTTTTAGATATGATAATTTAGTTTACTTAACACTTTAGGGGTTTAACAAATTGTTAAGCAATATTAGTGTGTCGAATTAGATAAATTTTATTATGTGTTGTGCGTTTTTAACTATCTAACGCCATTTTTAACTACTCTGCCTATAAATATATATGCATAAATGACTTTGCTATTTCTTGGTGCATTTTAAATTTTAAATTTGCTTTCTTAAAATTATTTTTGTGATTAGTAACTAATATAAAATATTTTATGCTAGGGTATTTAACTCTATAAATCATTCCTCGATTTCAATTCTATATGTTGGTTTATTTTCAGATTACCAAGATAGATCATCATAGAGGTCCTGTGACAGCACTGGTTGTGGATAAGGAGCAGGATATATTATTGTCATCTAGTCAGGACACGACAATATGCATCTGGGCTTTGACTGATTTTGAATTGCTCAATTGTATTAAAATGCAGGATAGCGTTTTATCACTGGACATCAGCGGAGATAATGTGAGTAGAAATTGGCAAAGATAAAATGATTAATTTTAGGAACGTGAGTGGAAAGGTCTGTAATTGTCTAAAATTAATAGAAGTAGAAGTTTGCACATAGAAATAAATTGATTGTAGTAATAATTGAACGTTGAATGCAAAATTAATTCCAATTTTATATACAAATTCAGTCACAAAAATGAAACAGCATTCATTGGAATGATAAATTTTATTTCATTTTTGTTTCGATTTATGAGAATTCTCATAAGTTTGTTATATTATTTCACTTCAAATCTTCAAATATTTGTATATTATTTCAACATCAGTTTCAGAACAATTTAATAATTAATAATTCAAAATGTTCGCCAGCCTCGGTCTAATGGTGGATTACCTACTAACATTCAACAATTTGTAGACAACCTTGGTTCCAAATGGCCAGATATGCCTGTGGTTAGGATTAATTATTTACGTGGGATGAGCCATATAGACCAATGTTGGTAAAACTATATAGGCTCTATCTAGAAATGTTCAATTTTTATACCCAGCCGATATCGGCTTCAAATTTGACCAATGTAGATTGTATATTGCTCTTAGATTCAGCCTACATTAATTACTACTACGTTTCTACTACGTATCTATTATTGCAATTATGAATAATAAATAATTCATGATGAACAATTTTATAAATTTCATTAGGTATTTTTGCTGGCACACTGTAAAGATAATGGTCTTTATGTGAGATCGTTGGTAACAGGAACAGAGCTGCATAAATTGGAGGATGCGCATTCAGAGGTACTTTATATAGTTATTATATTAAAAATAATTATTATAATAAAGATTAATATGATAATATTTATGCCCTATACCCAAGGGTAGATTCATAATATTTTATATGCTCGTATAAAACCATATAAAATAATTTATAATATAGTAACTGGAGTATAATCATAAATATTCATCCAATGGATAGTCAAGCTTATAGTCTAATAAAGTGTTTTGTGAAAAACGTCCGGTATGTTGGTGATCTTAGCTCAGCAATTTCTAAATTTAATTTTTAATCCAAAAATGTCTGCAAATTATAAATAGCTATAAATTTCAAATTATTAAATCATTTCTAAATCATAATTCAATTTCCAGATCCAATGCATCTCTATTGCCAATGACAACAGACGCGCCGTTGTCGGTTGCGCAGACGGATCAGTCCTGGTATATGAATTGCATTCTGGAAAATTGCTCAAAATGTACAGAAATAAAAAGAATTACTTCAAAAGTTATATTCACAAAAGCCATCAAGTCATTGATACAAGTATATATGTTGAGGATAGATTAAAAGACACTGCGTATTTGCATATGAAACTACATGATAATAAAGATCTCGATAGTAAGACATATACGAGCATATGCATATGCGAGAGCGATGATTTTTTAATTGTTGGAGGTAAGTTTTTATAATTATAGAAAGCACACTATTTAATAGTAAACTCCACACGACTTGGGTTTTAATAAGCCAATAATACAAGCAGATGATATTTAACTTTATGTACACTGTTGAATGTAGTATATGTATATCTAAATAAAGTTTGGATGATTTTTTCTTTCTAACTTCGTATTTCTTTTCAGTTGGAGATCAAGTAGAAGTATATTCCTTTAGAGATGAAGGCGAAACAAATATAAATTCTCAGTGTTTCACAAAGAATCTCAAGAAGTCAATGAGACACAGAAGACCTAGAATTCCGAATACTTCATCATCTACAAGTGACGTCACCTGTATAAGTGACGTGACACGAGATGATCAATTCTTTGCAGAGGGCGACTCCAATGGTGACGTTACAGTCTGGTCTTTAGTCACTTCCTCGGTTAACAATGTGTTTTCATATTCAGTTGACAACGGAAAAACTTCAGGTAAACTTGAAAAATAGTTATATTCCTTTAGAAACATATTTAACGTTTTTCTAATATATGTTGAATATTTGACTAATATCTGTCCATGCCTGATACATTATTTTAACCTACTATATAGGTAATTAATCCAAATACCGTAAATGTGTATTTAATCTTTTGTCCTCCACGATTCGTAAACTTTTGGATTTGGACTGTGTTTTTTCTATATGGTTCTATCTACTGCATTTCTCATAATACGCACGTATTCAACAATATGCTAATTGTAATTGTAAATGTAATCAGAAACAAATTATCTACAACTTAATTAATTTCTTCCAGGAACTGGTAAATCATCATCAAGTTCTGATAAGACAATTAGCGCCGAAAAAGACAAATTCGCTATCGGCAAATCGTTGTCAGGTTCCTCTGATAAATTCGTGACCAGTCTCAGTAGCTCTCATGGTGGTGGTGATTCTTGTGTAACCTGCGTCACAGTGTCGCCTGATGTCACATTTGTTACGGCTGGTTTCCTGAACGGTGACATCATCAGTTGGAAGATAACGGATTCATCGCGGATAAGCATATTCAGGGTAAGATCAAATTCATACATTGTTGCCATTATTTCTGTATTGAAATATCTAAACATCTGCTTGAATAAATTATGAAAACGTCCGCCGTTTTGACTATATCTTCAAATATTTTAAACAATAAAATAATAAATGTAAATATAATAATATGGTAAAAGCAAACAAAAAACAAATATCTTAATACCCAGTAAACACCGGGCGGCGGTAGCAATCTGAAGTCCACATTCGCCTTCAGCGATGTGACATGCATGTGGAATCTATGAGGATTTCAGATTGCTAATGCCGCTCCGTGTCGCTCGGTGTTTACTGGGTCAATTGGTGGATGTTTGTAAAAGTTCCAGTCTAAAAACAATGAGACAAATTTAGTAGATCAAAACATTTTATACAGTTTATAAAGTTAACACTTTCCACTCGCGATTTCCGAGATCGATATAAATTTTGGCATCCCAGTGGAAAGGGTTAACAAACTATTTTTTAATTTTCAGGGTCACAAAGCACCAATATCCTGCGTCAGAGTACTCTGGGACAACAAAAGGATAATTTCTGGCGGCGGCAAAGGTGAAGAATTGGTAATTTTGTGGTGGGTGGATTCAGCAACTCCTATCAGAGTGTACAATGCACCATCTGAACTTGTAGATGTCACCAAAATATGCGATATATTGTAAGTATCGACAGTCCAATTTTACAACATTTCTCATGATACTACTCTTTTGTATTTGTTTTGGGTTTGGTGTTTCTCATGGTATAGCTCAGTCTTTCTCAAAGTGGGCGATATCGCCCCCTGGTGGGCGATATTGATCTCCAGGGGGGCGATGAAAGGCCTCGCTAAAATGTTGGTTGTTGACGTTGGGTTAGGGAGCATTTGTAATTTATTTTTACATTTTAAAGTTCACCAGAAATTTGTATCCCAACGATTAATGGTACTTTATAAGTTTGGTCGGTTCTATGGTATTTAAATGATTTTGATACCATTTTATAGCTTTTTATCAAAAAAATTGTCTATCAAAAGGAAATTGTCTGACCCGGTTTACAATCTGTTTGACTCTGTTATAGAGTTTTTAGAAAATAAGGAACACAGTTGTGCAAAAACCTGGTATCATCAAAAAATGATATAGCATATCTCACAGACCTTTATGCATTGCTCAACAATATGAATCTACAACTTCAAGGCGATGGCTTAAATTTAATAAAAACAAAAAATATCATCGCTGCTTTTGTAGCTAAACTGTTATTACATAAGAAAGATATTGGAAAACGGTAGTTTCATAATTTTCCAAATTTATCGGTATCGTGCAACAAAGACTTGCCAACATTTGGAAAATCTTCATGGCAATTTTATTGAAAGATTTCAAGATATTTTAAATTTGGAATACCAGGCTGGGTATTAGAACCTTTTTCAAATGCAAATGTAGAACATCAGCCCAGCTAGAAGAAGAGCTTATAGAATTAACAACAAATGAGAATTAAAAATCAAATTTAAAGATGGTTATCAACAATTTTGGCTACAGAAGTCAATTCAGCAGTTATACCCTGGCATGTGGTCGGTTGTTCAAAAATTTTTCCTAGCATTTCCATCGTCATATTTGTGGTGAACGTGGATTTAGCGCTGTGACAATGCTACTTACTAAAAACAGAAATCAGTTGCAAATTACCAAACGCGGTGACTTACGACTTTTTTTGAGTCAAATGGAACCTGATATTGACAAACTTGTAAAAAAACATCAAATTCATCCTCTCATTAGAGTTTGAAACTAAAATTTGATATACTGTTTCTATTAAGTTGATTATATATATAATATATATGACTAATGTCATAAAGTTGCATTTTATTTGCCCTCACTGGTAAAAATGTATAATTTAGAATGTAAGGTTGCATCAACTAATATATCACACTATAACTATATTAATAAAAGTAAAAAAAAAACATGTGTTCAGAGATTGGATAAAAAAATTG